TTTTTTAAGAAGAGTTACCATAATTTCAGGACGATAATTTACGGCCAACACAATGTCTTTTACTCCTGCCTTTAAAGAATATGAATTAATTGAAGGGCTTTGTAATATGACCAATTGTATTGATTTATTGATTCCAATTTTAACAGTAAAGTCTACCTTTACAAGGCCTTCTATTTGATGCAATATCATGGGTTTATTGCAAAAACTCCACCAAAGGTTTGGGAAGTGTAAGTGTCAAGGGTCGAAGCCTAGTACCAAAACCTGAAACAGTGTTAACATCAATTAAAGCTTTTTGCCAATATTTTCTCAAACAAGTATAGGTTGAATTCACTATTTAAATACCGCCAACGAGAATAAGAGCCTTCATGATTAAATTTTTTTTTTCTTGAATTCAGAAGGAGTTGCCAAAAATCGTAGATAATTTATATATGATTGATAATAAGACTATGGTGTGACAAATTACCAATTTCGTCCGTATTAAATTTTGCATACATGCCGTGCATTTAAAAATTTGTTTTGTGCGCTTTCAGCGCGAAAGTGGGATGATTGTAACAAAAGAAGAGTTTAAATGGCATTAAAAAAAAACCTTTTACTGATTTGTAAATTACACTAATTAAGGGAATGGTTACAAATAAGTATTTATATTAAGTGTTCGTAATCTAATGATTGAAATCGAACGAATTTATATTCTGATCAGAAGATACTTGTATCGATATAGTATTGTAATAAAGAGTGTATAGTAACAAATTTAATATATAGTATATATAATCATTCAATCAGTGTAACGGTAAGGGTTCTCAACGTGTTTCGCACAGATTCGGATATTTAAAAGATAGATCGGGTTGTTATGAATAATTCTCTTCCGATTGGCCAATTTTATATAGTTGAATTCATTACTGATACATTTTAGAGCAACCACCATAATTTAACTTCAGTTTAAATATTCCTTACAAATGAAGCATTAAATATCTTAAGTATCCAAGTTTTACTTTCGATTCGATTCCGTTAGCACAAAATTTATATACACATTGAATTAACCAACGGAATTTTGTATTAGTTGTGATTTGTATGTATATTTTGGTAGTACGTACGTACTTTTAACATTTAACCAATAAA